TCCATGATGTGGAGCAAACACTTGGAGAACTAAGGAAGGCATCATCTAGAAGATACACTTGTTTGCGTAAAATACTTCAGATTTTTTGGCTAGACACTGTCAGCAACAACCTATTGTGGGAGAGAATAAACCAGATTCCAGTAGAGGAGGAAATCAGGAAAAAGCGGTGGAAGTGGATAGGATACACACTACGAAAAGCACCTAACTACGTCACGAGACATGCCCTCACATGGAACCCTCAAGGCAAAAGGAAAGGAGGAAGGCCAAGGAACACATTACGCCGAGAAATAGCGAATGATATGAGAGGAATGAACCAAAATTGGAAAGAACTGGAAAGGGGAGCTCAGGACAGAGTTGGTAGGTGGCCCATGCTCTATTTGAGGTAAAGGGTGTAAGTAAGTAAGTTAATAAAAACAACCTCTTGTCTCTGTATAACATTCTCCAGCAAATCCTATTGATATAGCCATGAATGCAGAGGCGATGAATACGTTCGCTCTATTCGGCTCCCATAACTTTCATTGTAGGGGAAGAATTGCGGGAAACGTCTGCTAACATCTCTCTCGAAGTGAATGAGCCAAGTTCTCACAATCTATTAGGGGTAGACAAATTATAAAACGTCAAATGACAATGAGCCTATTATTCGGTACTATCTTAAGTATAAAAATATTCCATTTTGCAAACTCTTCACTGGAATCAGAACGTTGAAAATATGGAAACATTGCTGTGGTACCAAAACCTATTACTGGTTAACCCTCGGATCATACATCTTACCTAATGAATAGAACACTAGGTTCTAAATTCTTATTTGGCGTAAATGCTGAGGTTAGTATGAATCCAGTTACACTTGCTCTGAGACCTATAAGCAACAAGTAAAATAAAACAATTTAAGGGAAACCAGTTACTTGTACAAGTTTTTGAAATTAAATACCAATGAAGCTGGATGTTCATTGTGGTTGCTTAGCATCATCCTTTTTTAGTGCACATTCCATATTGACAAAGCTCACCATTTCCTTTATACAACTAGAGCCAATGCATTACGTTGGAATATTGGATGCGTTGAAGAAAAATATACACCCATGTTAACGAGTATTCTACTTGTCCTACACTACATTATTTGGAGAAAGCGAAGCTGAATCTTCAAAAGGATATTTAGTATCTCCTATTATCTTCAAATCCTAGTCCTATGAATTTTTATCTCTTTCCCGGATCCCTAGATAGAACTGGTGCTGATAAAATAGAAGTTGAGCATTTCTTTACTCGTCTGTGCGGTCGATCCAAGAGATTGACGTCTCTTTTAAGGAGAGAGGTAGAATTCAAGGTGTAGGCGCGTATACATCTTAAACAACGTTAAGAATAATTGTGGTGTGATAGAACCAAATTGTCTTTCCATTAAGTGAAAAGTTGCATTTGCCTTGGCTGCGTCTCGTATAGAGTTGGAACTAGTGTGGAAGCTTCCAGTGGTTAATAAACCGAGATGGTTTTCTGAAGAGACATTAGGGAGCAGACTTCCACTGAGGGTGTAGATAGTTTGCGTCAAATGGGGCAGACTGTACAATACGTGACATTTCGTCTGGTTCAGTTTTCACTGCCTGTTCCTCAACGGATTTAAGGTCCTTTTGATGCTCACTGGAAACCTTTTTGCTTCTAATGGATCTCCAGATCACTGCATTGTCTGAGTAGATCAATGCCGACGAGCTAACTGAGTTTAAAGGGTTATCACTTAAGAAGTGAACCTAAGATATTCCCTGTGAAAATCCCAGAGTTGAGACTCACCAACTCGCGTGCAGTCTATTTTCCTTGGTACGAAACTTTCTATTCTCAAGGTGGTTTCTGAGCCAAGATACGAGTGGGTCAGTGAAGCCCATTTTCGCAACCTTAGCGATTATGCGTACGTGAGGTAAGGTGTAAAAGGCTTTCGCTGCGTTAAGAAATATTATGTGAACCGGTATTTTCGATCAGAGCAGGATGTCTAACAGTCCCATGATGTGAGAAGATTGGATGCGCACGACCAGCATCTCCGAAGTCCGTGTTGAGCTTCATGGAGTATTTTATACCCAACCATGTAAATCTATATCTGTTATTTCAACATCCCTTCAATTAAATTAGATAGAAAAAGTAGGAACGCGACTGGTCTGTTATAGACCAGTTACTTACAAGGACTCTAATGTGCCTGAACAGGTGACATGTCTGTGAACGGAGGGATTCGGCATACTGTTTGAATAATATGAGACGTCAACGCGCGTACTTTGAAAGTTGTAACTTTATTTCACGTGATTTAGTTTTTTCGTTTTCCGATCAGTTTACTCTACGTCAACGGTATATATAAACTAATCTTTGATAACCACACATTGGTAATCATTATTATTTTGGTTATTTTTGCTGTAGTTTCTGGCTTCATAAGTCTAAACAGATATTGTCCATAGAATAACAAAATTCTCCTTACAAATAACTCCACAAACATGTTACGTTTATCTAAAAAACACTTGATTTCACCTGTCCCATGTAGCACCTGCAAAAGATGCAAATCCGCTACTGAAGTCGATAAAATTAAACGTTGTAAGAACAGTGCCCCATCCGTATATTATTCTGATCTACCCACTGGCTTAATAGAATCTTACCGTGAACTTGAAAACGACATCTCTTTACCTTGTATCCCGCTCGTTGATATAAATACAACTAACCTCCATCCGAGTGACTTGACACCGTCCACTACTTCTTGTGTTTCATCCAAAAAAGGCACGTGCGAGCACCTGTTAGAAAATGTGGCTGGTCTAAAACACTTGACGAGCCCGCAAGCGGATCAAGTTCATAGCAATCCGAAAAATGTCTCTAGGCCTTTTTGCCATAGGAAATCCAGTACTGTTGATCTGGACTGTTCTCTCTCTGATATGTTCATTATTCCGGATGACTTTACACAGACTGAGTAACCGCAAAACACTTGTAGCAAGTCTGTGCATTATCCTATTCACCTTAACAGCTGCGAACTGAACTCCAATAGATTCGCCAGTGTTAGTTCTAAGGACACTTTCAGTGCACTCGATATCAACCAAACCATTCAGGATTTACTACCTTACAAATACCTGGTCAGTGTTCCAGAAAATCCTGATCCCGAAATCATCAAAAAAAACCGAAGTGGTAATTGACCATATATCCTCTGAAGTGTTAAAAAAACTTCAGTGCATGCAGAACGCCATTGTTTATAACGTGCCTGACAGTGCTAGTCTAAATTCTGTTAAAAACACTCTCCCTAAAGAGTGTGGATTGTCCCACTCTTGGTGTGTAGCACGCAGGCTACGTAAAATTCAGACTAAATTTTCCTGTCGCATTCTTGTTAAATTTAGTACTGTC